AAGCCTTCTATTAGTATTTTAGAAAGTGATTTTACTAAGTACTGTACTACAAATGAGGTACTTGTACTTTACTTGCTTTCATTTGACAGGGTGGTTTACAACTCTAAAGTTTAGAGATTTTGCATACACAGACTTAATTGAGCTAATAAAACGTAGTTATGAGTCAAACTAAGTAACAGAATATAAGTACATATTACATTTTCTGATAAGCCTTTAAGTTGTTTTCCATTCAAAATGCTAAACCTATCAAATTTCCAGATTCTCACATGTGAACATTTGGTGATTTAAATGATCAGAAATTGTATTCAGTGTAAATTATTTTGAGATAATGACTTTTGGGTTGGACATAATATTCATTGCCAAGGTTTGTCTTTGTACCCTGGTTAATTATAACAGCATTTTCACTGTTTTCATTCTTTTTTACAAACTAATCGATGAGTAATAAATGTATCAAAGGAGAAATTAATAAGCAGATTAATCCGTAATTAAGTATTTACCTGCAGTAAACATTTGATCCTCTCTCCTGGAGCCACGATCACCGTAGTGAAGACCCCTCCCAAACAGCCGGACAGGAATATTTGAGTGTGCCTGAATAGAGCAGAAATGAATCACTTTCAGAGACCAGGAGGAACCAATCAGCTACGTAGGTTACGTTATTTAACCTCCATGGACCCTAAAACACACTGTGTGTATTCTGTGCTGCTTTAGAGTTATTCAGTCCTCTGTTGGGATACTTTACAGAAGAAACGTTCTTCTAAGTCAAATGGAATCACTTTCCAGATGCCTAGCTATTCCTAAAACTCAACAGGAAACATGTGCACATTGGGGGGGGGGCTACAGGTCATACAAGGACAAGAAGTCCTTCTGAGGCTGCCGCAGGTTTACAGCACGTGGGGCATTTCCACATACATATATATAGTGTGCTGTGTGTGTGTGTGTGTGTGTGTGTGTGTGTGTGTGTGTGTGTGTGTGTGTGTGTGTGTGTGTGTGTGTGTGTGAAATGCAGCGTTAAAAACCTTTCTTCCTGAGACTGATATTGCTGGACAGAG